ACAAGAATCGCGGGAAATCCCGCGATCGTACGATAATCGCAAAGTGTATGGAAGGCGTGCGACCGTTTCTACTGTGTAGTCGCACGTCATCCGTCGAACAAGCAGGCTGGAAAACCTGCCAAAAATTGTACGATTCTCAGCCTGCTTGTTCGACAACTCTTAGTGGCCTGCTTGTTCGACAACTGCCGAACGGGCTGTGTGCGCCCACTAGATAGAGCATCGGAAGCCCGCCCCTTAAGGGGTGTATGGCCCCTTAAAGGTGGCCATACACTTTACAACCATCGCAAGACTTTTGGGGGGTCTTGCGAGGGCGGGCTTCCGATGACTGCAATGCTGAACGGGCACACTGGCCCGTTCAGCAGTTGTCGAACAAGCAGGCCACTAACCCGCCGAGAATCGTACGATTCACGGCGGGTTTTACAGTAAAGTAGAAACGGTTGCACGCCTTCCATACGCTTTGCGATTATCGTACGATCGCGGGATTTCCCGCGATTCTCAAACAATAATCGTACAGTGTATGGGCACCTTTAGGGCCCATTCACACCAAGGCTGTATGTTAATTGCATGGTTCCGTGCGATTACTGCAGGGTACTGGGCAATGCACCTACCACGCATTACGATGCGGAGGTACGTTGCATTGACATACATTATAATGCACGCTAGGTGCGTTGCACGGTACCTTGGTTTGAACAGGCTCTAAATTCTTCATGAGGCAATATTAAAAAAAAAAAAAGTTTGTTTGCATGAAATAATAGTATGGTAATACGGAATATGTATTTAAAGGAGAACTATGAGGTAAGTGCTTTTCACTCACCTCATAGTTCTAGCCGATTCTAGGCTTAGAGGGAAACTGTACCAGATCATTGCACGCACATTACAGTGTTGTGTAAGAATACATCTGGGTACCGCAGTTGTTTTGTAATGTTTATTGCACCATGTATGAGGATGCAAACAGTCCGTGATGCACAATATTGAAGGATGAGGAGGGGGTACAGATGATACGCTGTGCAGGGTTTACTAGATGTCAGGCCAGTAGGTGAAGTCAGCAGCCCTGTGACAGTTGTCAAGTCAATGACCTTCCACGTGCCTCTGTCTGGCTATTCTTTCCGGAGTCCCAGGGGTTCTTGAGCAATCATAAAGGAAGCAATAAGCACTTTGTAAAAAGAAGATTATTCATCCTGTTACTTGCAGCTCAATCCTTCTACATGTCTTTAAATGACAAACATCACCAGCAGAGGAATAGGCCCAGCGTATCTCAAGGCCAAACTATTGCTTTTGTTTTGGATGGTGAGGGTAAGACCCTCTGCCCAGTTTTTATTGATGTCTGTGTCCCCCTTGGGGAGATTCACCGCTCTGTCCTGATGACTATCCTCACTGCAACAAAGTGTGAAGGGAAATCCAAAATTTGACAGTTGTCCCCAGAACAAAAGGCAAGGGGACATCTTCCCACGTGGACATCTGTTCTGGAGACAATTGCCTACGGGGGAAATTCCTCTCACTTTGAGAAATTCACTTTCATTTCCTGCTGTGTCTCTGGGACAGGAAGTGAAGGGAAACGTACCCAATGGTACACAAACAGCAAAAACAAACTGGTTTTAACCCTACCCCACTCTCTAAAAAAAGATTTGGCTATACATGCTTGTTCACACCACCTCCAGACCAGATCTGGGTGAGTTTTCGACACATTTGTGATGTGTTCCAGTGCATTTCTTTTCTCAATTGGTTTTGCTTGGGTTTTAGGCAAGTTCCCGTGCGTTTGCATGCATTTACGTGTGTTTTTAGGCATTTCGGAACCCAAAACAAAAAATTACCCTGGAAGTAAATGGTGTGAACGAGCCTCATTTTTACCATTGGAATTTCTGTGTATGCTTTTTTGGTCCAGATAAAAAATGTTCTGGTCTGGAGATGGGGTGAAGAACCCTAAAGGCTGTGGCACACTGCATGTTGCCTTGCCATGCAGTGTGTCATGTCATTTTCTCTCCGGCATGTCAGCTTGCATAGCTGAGCGTGCCGAGATGAAAAATGTTATCTTCAGGCAATCGGCTCGCGCCTCACGATGCACACTCCATCCAACTGTTACGTGCAAGCGGGTTGGCTGAAGTCATTCATCTGGCTGCACTCAGCTTACACACTGCACGCCAAGCTCCGTGTCTGACAGCTTTGCTTCCCTCTGCATGGCTTTGCATGCAGTGTGTCACAGGCTTAAATCCTAATTCTAGTTAAAATATTTTTTTTATGTGGATAAAGTAGGAAATAGTTACATTTTAAAGCAAATGCTGTCTGTGACCCCAGAGAGATTTCTCCCAACTTCCTGTTTTGTCAGAGGCCCATCTCCTGTAGAGAACTTATAGAGAATTCTACCTCATGGAGACCCAGATAGCAGTACACTTGTGTCCCCCTTGTAGGGAAGTGTGTGTGTGTGTGTCTGTGTGTTGGGGGCTTTCTCTTACTTCATGTTCCATCTGACCCCTATAAAATAGAAAGGAAATATAGAGATGTCCCCTCATTTCCTGTCCTGTCTGACATTTATCAAATAGAAAGCAAGGAGACATCTCCCAAAAGGGGAGACGGCAATAAAAACATCACAGAGATTCTAGCCTTTCTGAACTCTCAAAACTTAAAAAAAAAAAACATTTTGCAAAGAGTTGGACTCCAATGAAACACGGACCTATGGTTGTGACAGACGTAGACTAGCCGAGACACGCAGGTCACCTGTCTGTGCGTCCCTTCCATTAGCAGACTTTGTGGTTGCAGAAATGCCTGTGTAATAGGACATGCTAGGAAATGACACACTTAAGCCGGGTATACAGGCTTTTCTTCATTCAACCTGCAGGCAACCATTGTGTGCACTGCATTCTGACAGCGGCGGACAGCAGAATACCTGAACAGAACTACTAGCTAATTGGCTGCAGGCTCCGTTCAGTCGAGGATCTCTTGACTAGCTCCTTCGATCAGCTGGCTGGAATGGTGCTGACAGTGGCCCCCATTGTGCAAATTTCGGCAGCTTCATCAAGAATGGGCCGCAATTCGTACGGTCTATACTTTGCTTAAAGGAGAACTATGAGGTGAGTGATTTCCACTCATCCTAATAGTTAGTGCCGACCTGTGACAAAGAAGCTGTCACACGCCCACTCTATAGATCGGGAAGTGAGTGAACACATACCGTCGCTCACTCACTTCCCGATCATCTCCCTGCAGAGAGCCGCGAGTGTCAGTCACCACTCCCCACAGGGATTCCCCCCATCCCCCACGATCTTCCAGCGCTGAGTGGAGGAACGGACAGGGTGGAAGCAGGCAGAGCCCGCTGTCACTCAGCCAGCTGGGTGGATCTCGACAGTATTGTCGGGATCCATCCCGGCTGCGGCGCTCTCAGTATATCACGGGCAATAGCCCACTATATACTGAGCTTTGGGTCACGGGAGGAGGTTAGTATATGTCCTCCCGTGACCCTAAAGGCCCGTTTTAGGCCAAGTTCACACCTGGGCGATCCGAGACCGTGCGGCAATCATGCACAAAACTGCGCGGTCACAGAAACGCACACCGCCTCTGGCGGCGCCATTATTTTGTAATGGCACACCAGGCAGATTGCGTGGTTTCCTGCCGCTATACCGCCTGTGCAATCACACACGATTGCGGTTTAAAAACCCGCGCAGTGTGTGTCCCCCCAAAAAAGTACAAGTACCTTTTTTTCAGCAGTTGATGCACGGATGTTACCCCATTGCACCCACACATGATCGCATGGTCCCGGGACATGTGTCCCGGGATCGCCAAAGTCTGCACCAGCCCTGAGTGCGTGGGCTGGTGTGAACGAGCCCTTACATTGTTCCCAACTCCCTCTGTGGGCTACAGAACACTTCCTGCATATGTTATGAACAGGGCCGTCGCTGTAATGAGGCAGGATAAGGTGGTTAATTCAGGCAGCATCTCATTTGTATGTGCCAGATCATCCCATGTTGGCAAACAGTGGCATCCCGCTCAGCTCTTAGCAACCAGTGACTTTCTGTGTGGTGTCCGGCCCAGCACACTGATGTCAGTGGTAACGTGCACCACCAGCTCCCCAATCATACCCCACCCAGGCAGTGAAAATTCTAAGGACACCCCTGGTTATGGAGATGAGGACAGATAGTAGTGTTCTGTAGATAAAGTACAGTAAGTGAGTGTTGTCATCCTAGTGATCTGGTCAGTAACTACTGTATTTTTCCATGTATAAGACTATACTTTTTCTTAAAAATATTTACCTAACAATGGAGGGGCGTCTTATACACGGGGGGCCGAGAGGAGAACCGCGGTTGCGAACTGCCGATACCTCTGCAAACTAGCCTCATGAGTGAAACTTCTGATTGCAGAGACAAGATAACAGGTTTCCTCCAATCATGGGCCTTATTTACCTGACGTCTGCTGATGCTGCGGAAAGCGTGTAGCCAGCGCCCAGATGCAACAGGGAGCCCATAAAAATTTCAGAAAAAAAAAAATACCGGTACCAGTATGCAGCTGTCTTACTCTGCAAAATTTAAACTGGATGTAATCAGTTATGCAAAAGTGCATGCAAAATATTGATTTCTGAATTTTGGGTAAGAAAAAGTGGGGGACGTCCTATACATGGGGGCGTCTTATAGATGGAAAAATACGGTATGTTACTGACCCAGTCACCAGGGGAAAAAAGCCAATAAAACGAATTCAGCCACAACATCTAAGAACTGTAGAGCTGCACTATATCGATTGTTTTGATCCGCTGTATAGATCACATAGTTTATTTCATATACTCCTACAGTCACCCCAGACATGACAACCTCCAGTGACACAAAGACTTCCTGTGCCCACACTGCACATCTGCTGTACAATGTAAACACATCCATCCATTCCAGATGACACATACAATAAATACAATGCTATGGTGTGCTGTGACCTCATTCCACTGATTCCCATCCTCCGCCATGGATGTAAATGATAGCACGTTTTAATGTCCCACCAGGTTCTGTATCAGGGTCAAAGATTCTGACCTCCACGCCATCAAACACGGTATCCGTGACTTTTAAATGTGCAGACGATACAGGATCCAGTTGATAAAAGTAGTTGGAAACGAAATTTAAGACGTGCAAATGGTGGCTAAGACCAACATAATGTGCCAAGTTGCTCAGATGCTGGGCACATCGGAAGGTGGCATCCATCATCATGAGTTTCCAGGGCTTGGACAAGGTGCTGGGCAGCGGGCTGTACACATAGTAGGCGGTGAATGTTGTCAGTGCTGTCAGTAGGGCAGACAATGCTCTCATGTTGATGGCTGCCTCTCCACAGATCGGTGGATACAAACTCTGCACAGCCCAAGTTTTTTGTCAGCTGGCTGATTTCATTGTCCGCCCGACGTCATCCAATCACACACACAGAGGAAGTCTAACAGGCTGGTGTCCTGTCCTTGTACAGTGTGTGTTGTATGTCTATAGTAATAGACGGCCGTGTAGAAGAGCGCCACCTGCTGTCTGACTGGAGGTACACCTACATGCCTGTGTATCATACACATGCCAGTTCTCCCCGGTGGTCAGTGGTCATTGTACACAGGAAGTGAGGGGCACATTGTCAGCTTGTCTTCAGGAAGGGGGTTAGATAACCTTGAGGAAGGTGGTGAAATCAGATATGGACACATGTAGGCACCATTTATACTTTGCTCACACATGGTCGCACATCTTCATAGGGATGCCCTACACACAGGAGGACACAGGAGCTAATGCAGCAGTTTGACCTCCAAGCTTCACCCATGTTTTCATTGCACATTTGCAAGCAAGACGTGATTTTTGTAACTGCAAAAAAAAAAAAAACCTATGTGATGTACCACCTGTGAATGTAACCTTAAAGTGACATTAAACCCTCAGATTTTGTAACATAAAACAATACTGTAATGTGCGCCTTACTGTAATCCATGGTTGTTCCCCTTCCCTTTGCTGCTCTTCCTTTTAAATCTGTATCTCTTCTCATGCTTGGCAGAACTTCCCTTCTCACAACAGCCTGGTTTATTCACACAGAATAAAGGTGGATGCGGTGTCGCTGAAAAAGCACATTTTGTATAAATAGCCCCCTAAGCGTGTACGTGTGTGGGCCTAGGGGGAAAGGGGACCTGTCAATTATAATCACTTCAGTGATCAGTCCCTGGTCTGTAAAAAGAGAACCGTTCCCCCATTATTATTGTCAATTGTGGGAAATGTTCCTGCTTGCAGCAGCCTAGAATTCTGAGCATATGACACTCCAGGAAATATAAATTCCCTTTCTGATTGGTAGGGATGCACCGATACCTATACTAGTATCGGTATTGTTGCCCATACCGAGGATTTGGGCGAGTACTCAGGGCGAGTCTACAGCCGCCTAAGTCGCCACCTTGCTGATCACAACCTTCTTGACCCCTTACAATCTGGCTTTCGCCCCCAACACTCCACTGAAACTGCCCTCCTAAAACTCACTAATGACCTACTTACTGCTAAAAGCAAAGGCCACTATTCCTTACTCTTGCTATTAGATCTTTCTGCTGCTTTTGACACTGTTGAACACCTGCTCCTCCTCAGAAAACTCCAGTCACTTGGGCTACAAGACTCTGCTCTCTCGTGGTTCTCCTCCTATCTAAGCGCTCCTTTAGCGTCACCTACAATTCTAAATCCTCCCCTCCTCTTCCTCTTTCTGTAGGGGTCCCCAAGGCTCTGTCCTTGGACCCCTTCTCTATCTACACCTCCTCCCTTGGTCAGTTAATAACCTCACATGGCTTCCAATACCATCTCTATGCTGATGACACTCAAATGTATCTTTCTACTCCACAACTCACCCCCTCAGTGTCCTCTCGTGTCACTAATCTACTAACTGACATATCC